AGCTGCTTTTCCACATATTTTCGTTTAGTTGACAAGTATTACCCCACTTTACAGAAAAAGAAACCAGCTCCGTAGCATCTCCTTGGCTACATTCCCCAACTCTCCAGAACCCCCCTCACTAAAGCCCTTAATAACTAGTAACTCCCTTACCTTTCTATCCCTCAATGTAGCAACTTTTCTATTTGCTTTCTCTGGACTTAGCCACATAGTATTGCTGAAGGAAAAAAAAAAAAAAATCACAAAACCACGCAGACTTGGCCCACTGTAGAGTCGTGCACTCTAACTACAACTAGACTCTCAGTGCCATTCTTCCTGCCCCATAGGTTCAACACGTCCGAATCCTCTGGCTCACTCAACCCTTGTCCACCTCATTTCATCCTTCTAGCCTATCAAACTCCCCTCTATCACTTCTCTCACATCTTTGTGTTCCTTTCTATTCAATGGTCCAAGCCCCCAGCACCTTAGGTCCATCATGAACACGACTGGTCTTGCTCTGGTCTCCTCTTTCCCCTCTCTTCCACCCAGAATTCTACCACAAGACCAGTCTTCCTAAAAGAGATTTAGATCATGTCATTTTCCCACCCAAAATCCTTTAGATGTTCCCCATGGCTGAGGGCAAGGACAGCACTGGCACACAATGCCTGCTATGCTCTGGTCCAAAGCTATTTTTAATGCCTTCTACTCCCCCACACAAACCCTCTGCCCTGGCCAAACCTGCTAATGACCGATCTCCCACACAGACCTTTACTCGCACCATTCACCAGCATCTGCCTCGCCTGCCCACGGATATCCTGCTCTTCTCTCTGTCCAAGGAAAGCCTGCCCATGCTTCAAGGCTGCTGTCTGGCTTCTGTCCTGCTCTCACAGCGAAGCCTTCCCTGATCCAGGCTCTAGTACCTCTCCTGCCTCTCGACACCTAGTGCATTTAATGTCCATACTTTCACTGGACTCTGGGCATACGTGGTGTCTTTACATCTCCTACTACGTCTGAATAACTTGAAGGCAAGGGCTTATAGTGACTTACACTAAATAAGCACAGTGTTTTCACTGACTTAAACTGTCTTAAGTATTTCTTTCAGGATATCATGAGTGTTGAGCAAAGATCCTTCTCTGAAGCCTTAACACTTTGCTAAGCAGTGTTCTTTGAGGAGTTCTTACCACTGAACAGAAGGGTGCTCACACACATTGAGCATTTTATATTTAAAATGAGCACACGTGCGTGTGCATTCACATACAGAATCTCTCTTTAAAAAATTTCAAATTATAAGTCTGGATCCAGAGAGATCCCGATCAATCCAGGAGGTGACCACTGGACACCACTATTTAGCAGTGTGGGCCCAAGCTAGAGAAATGTCTGACAGTCTGTGACTGTTGGAGACAGCAGCCCTGCCAAAGGACCCCAAAGGACTTTCCACAGAGAAAAGATTTGGATTAAACAAAGAGCTAGATTTAGCTGCTTCCTGAATGTGTTTTCCCAATCAACAAACCTATCATAATACTGCCTGCCCCCTGGCCTGCCATAGCTGGCAAGGAGTACTGCCAAGAGGAATATGAGTACTTGGTGAATAATGGCTTATATACTATTGACACCACTTAGCATGAAGTCAGTATGCAGGACACCAGCAGCAAGCTGTCAGAATCCTAAATCCCAAGCCATAACCAAATGGGTAATAGACATGTTGTTCTCCTTTTGCTACTCTGCGAATCAGCAGAAAATAAGGTACTTGGCATTCTGGGATACGAATGCCACAAGGTCAGATTGGGGGAGCTATCCAGGCCTCTCCTGTAAACTGCTGATATAAATTGGTCCATTTCTGACAAAGTACGATACTAAAGAGAAAAGACTATACAGACACTCCTCAACTTACAATGGGGCTATATCCCCATAAATCCAATGTAAGCTGAAAATATCATAAGGTGAAAATGCATTTAATACGCCTAACCTACTAAACATCATAGTTTAGCCTAGCCTACCTTAAACATGCTCAGAACATTTACATTAGCCTACAGTTGGACAAAATCATCTGGCAACACAGTCCACTGCAGAGTACTGGCTGTTTACTCTAGTGACCACGTGGCTGACTGAGAGCTGCAGCTCCTGTCACTGTCCAGCAACAGAGAGAGTATCTTATGGCATATTGCTAGCCCAGGAAAGGGTCAAGATTCAAGATTTGAACTACGGTTTCTACTGAATGAGTATTGCTTTCACATCAACCTAAGGTCAAAAAACTGTAAGTCAAACTATTATAAGTTGGAGACCTATCTATAGTCTATTTTGCCATTAAACTGCCATTTCATCTTACACTGAATTTTTCTTTTTATCCACATTCAGAAGAGAAAAGGAGATGTGAGGGGTAAGGTTTAAAAGAGCCTCTACCTCTCTGGGCCTCATGTCTTCATCTATAAAATGAGAAAATTATACTAGGTGATCAAGTAACCTAACACTAACATTTTATGGTCCTAGATTATTTCTCCAAATATTTTAGATAGTCTGCCTTATTCTGATCCTAACATTTGGATAGTAGATCCAATTGGAAAAGTGTCCCCAGCTCTGCATTATCTGAAGAATGCTATGTCTAGATGAGACACATGGAACTGCTAGAGCCAGCTAGTATCAATTTGAGGATGTAGCCAACACTCAGTAAAAACCTGTTTGAGGCTTGTGTCTTGGAACTGGAACAGAGACAAAAATCACCTGCAGGAGAAGCTGCTCAGCAAGACAACTGCTTGCTTGCTCTTTTTCTAGCTCGGTCCCTGCTTGGCAAAGGGACTACATTTCCACTCCTTATCACTGTTAAGGACAAAAACCAGATGGCATGAAGCTGCTGGGCTTCTTGTCCCCTCACTGTCAAGAACCAGTGGAGTGCAACTGGTTGCTATACACAAGCCACCATACCTGAGTTCTTGGCCAAGGAACACATGTGTGGTTTGTAGCATGTTTGTTGATAGTAACTTAAAGGAGAGTAGAGAACTTTTCACTTCTGTCATTAAAAACAAAAGAGGTGTGAAGATCAAGTTGGGGAGGTGGAGTGTGTAGAAGGAAGAAATTTCCACCTCTCCTTTTGTTTACTTTAGCAAATGTTTTCTCAGTTTCTTTTAGATCTGAGAATCCTTCCTGATTCTCACTGTTATTCTCACATTTTAAGCCACTTCACTCCAAGGCAGACCATAATCTTCCCCAATTCAGGAATTTTCCTGCAGTGTGAATAATTTCAGGGACGGTCCATACTGCACAATCCAACAACTTCAGCAGCATCACCCGGACCATGATATGGACAGCTACCAGTAGGAGCAGCTTATTTTACAAATGAGAGCAATAAAAAAGGAAGCAGTCAGAGGTGGATAGTCAGCAGATGTGGGAATAGCACTAGACCTAAAGATAATAACTACCTTTGAGAGGCCTAAAACCAGCAATTTTTAAGCCTGATTCTGAGCTAGGCTGTTTGCCTTTACACATGTAGTAAAAATCAAAGGAGTCTGTCAAGTCACACCGTTACTGCCACTTAAGGAAACTACCCGAGTAAAGAGGCATACCTACCAGAGTGTGCTAGTGAAAGACTGAAACCACTTAGCAGCCTTTTTTAGCCTGAAAGCCTATTTTTTTTTTTTTTAGCACAAGCTACTATACTCAGCAAAACCAAATACAACAGAGCCCTACTGTTGTCTATAAAAGAGCCACGTTTGATTTTCCTCCAAATGCAATTAAGCTGTCTCTATAATTTTCCCTATAACAGCTACCAGCATTCACGATTTATATTCCTATATTCTAAACTTCAAACCAAAATGAAAATATTATACTGAGTTTCTTTGCTAATAAAATGATTATGATTTATTATCATGATTTCCTCTTTAGCTCTTAGGATCATTCAAAAACAATGGTTTTCAAACTGTGATCCAAGAAGCCAAATTAATAATGTGGTTTGGGGGTAGGGATGGGCACAGGGAAGAGGTGAACTGCTTTTCCCACAGCTGCTTTTATCTGCTTCATATGCTGTACATTTGAAAAAAAGGTTCTAATGCAAAGAAAGAAAGAAAGAAGGAAACTTAAACATCACTAAGGAAAGAGAACAGGCCGGGCGCGGTGGCTCACGCCTGTAATCCTAGCACTCCGGGAGGCCAAGGCGGGAGGATTGCTTGAGCTCAGGAGTTCGAGAGCAGCCTGAGCAAGAGCAAGACCCCGTCTCTACTATAAATAGAAAGAAATTAGCCGAACAACTACAAATAGAAACAATTAGCCAGGCACGGTGGCATGTGCCTGTAGTCCCAGCTACCCAGGAGGCTGAGGCAAAAGGATCGCTTGAGCCCAGGAGTTTGAGGTTGCTGTGAGCTAGGCTGACGCCACAGCATTCTAGCCCAGGCAAGAGAGTGAGACTCTGTCTCAAAAAAATAAATAAATAAATAAAAAAAATAAAATAAAAAAAAGGAAAGAGAACCAGACTATCATATACCGATATAACTACCAAGGCACTACTTTATTACATAAAAATTATAACTAGCCAAATTAAACAACCAGGGTTAACAGGAAATTAGGACAGAATGATAAAGAAATATAATTTAATGAATCCCTAATTTTAGCCAATGATTTTAATCATCCATCTTCAAGTGGTTTTGCACCAGCAAATAGTGTAACAGAGTTGAACTTCTGGTGAAAGGTACAGGCAGTAGTAACAGGGAAGCCAAAGTGAAAACAGATCTGATGATTTGAATCTAGATAGCGCCAAAGGCCTTTATTTGCTACTCACAAAACTAGTACTAAATAAAGAGCAGACCAGACCCTGCCAATAAAGGCTATAAATGGACAGGTAGAGAAATTACCCCCCACCGTGGCAGACTGCTGTATTGGCCACAATCCCCAAGAGACACTAATACTGGGCCAGCCACCAAGCCATTTAATTCCTAATGTAAGATTCTGACTCAGAAACAGAGTCTTTTTGTTTCAAGCATAATAGAAAGCGAAGAGCAGCCAGTGGGACGTGGGACGTGGGACCTGGTGCAACTCACCTGTGCAGAACTCCTTGCTCACACTGTGGGGCACTGTGATCCGTCGGTAGACAATGGGCTCGGACTCCAGGATGTTCTCATCGTGGCGGTACCGAGTAGGCCTTTCACTCGGGATGCCCCGGGAACGGGAACCACTTCTCCTTTCATACGTATCTATCTCCTCAAACACAGCCGCCTTGTCAAAAAGGGCCAGGTTCCCTTCAAAATCAAAATCTGTGTCTGGGATCTCCTCAATATCATCCCCGAAGCACTCATCATCTTTATTCTTCATTTGACCGTTCTTTAAACCACTTTTCTTTGGAGTTGCCTGATTTGGGTGCCTGCTACTAGATGACCCTGGAGAAAGAACAGGGACTAAAGTCAGTGAGCCCACAGAAAGTGCTCAGTGGAAGTGGACAATACAGTACATTAGTTGTCTGCAGAGAATGTTCCAGGAACCAAAGTGAAGATGGTAAAGGTAAGCTATTTCTAAATCATATTAAATAGCACAAACCACACTTCTCATGTGGATAATAGATTTTACTTACTCAAACAACTAGTTAATGAATATGAAGTAAGAAGCACTCCTGGAAATCTTAACCACTTCTGCCCTTTATAAGGAAACTGGTAATAACTGAAGCTTTTCTGACAACTTACTATCAAGAAAAGAAGTGGAGGCTGGGCGCGGTGGCTCACGCCTGTAATCCTAGCACTCTGGGAGGCTGAGGCAGGTGGATCACTCAAGGTCAGGAGTTCGAGATCAGCCTGAGCAAGAGCGAGACCCTGTCTCTACTAAAAATAGAAAAAATTAGCCGGGTGACTAAAAATAGGGGAAAAAAAAATTAGCTGGACATGGTAGTACATATCTGTAGTCCCATCTACTTGGGTGGCTGAGGCAGGAGGATTGCTTGAGCCTAGGAGTTTGAGGTTGCTGTGAGCTAGGCTGATGCCATGACACTCTAGCCCAGGCAACAAAGCAAGACTCTGTCTCAAAAAACAAAACAAAACAAAAACAAAAATACAGGGATGCTGCTGCTAAATATCCTATAATGCACAGGGCAGTCCCCCACAACAAAAAATTATCTGGCCCCAAATGTTAATAGTACTGAGCTTGAGAAACTCTGCTAAAGATGATACACTGAAAGACATGATCTCTTTTCTCCTTCTGAAGAATGTTATGTCTAGATGAGACACATGGAACTGCTAGAGCCAGCTAGTATCAATTTGAGGATGTAGCCAACACACAAGGAGAGTTTCAGAGAAATAAGGTTAAAGCCCTGATTATACTATATTTGCAAATGACAACCTCTGGATGTACTGTGATATAATTTCTTTATTATTTAAGCCACTGAGTAGGATTTTCTATTATTCACAGCCAGAGCATCCTGACATAATCTAGCTAGCTAGTACTTTTAACTATTACCATGAGCTTTTCCATGAAGATTACTTAATTCTTATAACATCTTGTGGTATTATAAGGTACTAGGGAATCATGAAAATACTTTAAGATGGTTATTATTGTCTAGAGTCATTTACTTGCGTAGAGCAAAGGAAGAAAGACAGTCAAGACTCCCACCATTTGTAATCCTACAGAACCTTTGCAGCTGACACCATCTTAGGCTTTGATATACATATTATTTCGATTTTTCTTCTGAACAACCTGATTAAAATTATCATTCTACAAATGAGGAAACTAAGGGTGAGAGGTGAAGTAGCCTGCTCCAGATTTATACTGAGTTAGGATCTGAACTTTGTAGGATTCCAAATTCTACAGTTTTCCCAGATAAAAACGTGGAAATAGGAGTAGGGAAACCATGTAGCTCTGACAGACTTAGGCAAAGTTAAAAGTACAGAGAGTATCATGTCTAGAAAATGAGCACACAAGGCAAAAATCAAACGACATGCAGTATAGCGCAACAGTAAAAGAAGGAATTCAAAGGCAATAGGAAACAAGTATTCCTTTTTAAAAAATAACTTTTAATAGAAGTTCATAATAGGTAATGCACAGAATATATAGAAAATTGCAAATATTCACATGACATTTTTATGTATTTCCTTTTAGTAAAAAATTTGCATCTATCTTATGAAGTTTGATATCCTGCTTTCTTGTTTAGGAGAATCTTCCTGTTTCATAAAATAATTCTTCAAATACTGGATCTTACTTTTTATGACTGTATAAATTATAGATTATACCATATAGATCATCCCTACTGATGAACTTTTAAGCTATTTCTCATTTTTGCTGTTACAGACTCAGCTGAAACATACTCTTTGCCTACTGCTGCAGAAAAATCACTCCCATCTGACTACTTATGACAATGTGGGTACCAATGACCTAGCACTTACACCACACTATCTGCTTCATTCTGTGGTTAGTCTGTGTTCTTGCTCTAACTCCCCAAGGAGCTTATAAGACAACAGAGGGCAGGAATGACATCATTCATACCTGTCACCCAATACTATGCCTGGCAAGCATAAATACACAAATGTCTGAATTAATAAATAAAACAGCCTATAAAATAAGCAAAACAAAACAAAAAACACCAAACAAAAGTTAAAAGTTTAAAAAGAGGTTGTAACAGAAAGGGCAATTTTAGATTAACTGTAAGAAAGAAAGGGAGCCATCAAAAATTATGCCAGTTTGTTGCGTGACTGAAACATAACAGGAAGATGAAGCTGTTGACAATAAAACGAGGGGGAGTATGAGGCAAGGCCTTCAGAGGAAAAAAGTTCAGTCATGTCCAATATAAACCAACAATGAACTATCCGGGAACTATCATGATGACAGATGAAAATGAGCAATTGATCACTGAAAGAGAAGACAGGGTAAAAGAAACAAAATGAGAAATCGTTCCCATTGAGATGAAACCCTGAGCTCCAGAACCCAGATGACAGATCAAGAATAAAGCTCAGAGGAAAAGGGATACAGACATTGCTAAAGAGGAACAGGCAGAGGCACAGAAAAAGCTGTAGGAGAAAATAGAAAAGAACCGAGACTTCAAAGACCCCAAAACTCTATAGCTAGTTCGAAAGTCCCAAAAGACACTGGTATAAGGCCAGTTATCTAGTGCTAAAGTCTGCGTTATGCAAAAATCATCAGCTGCTTCTCCCACAACTAGCCCAGTGTTTATTATCACTAAATGCTGGGCTAATACTAATATGAAAGTGTTCAGAAGCACAGGTTGAGCATCCCTAATCCAAAAAGCTCTAAAATTGAAAAATTTTTGAGTGCTGACACGATGCTCAAAAAAATGTTCACTGGAGCATTTTGGATTTCAGATTTTCCGATTAGGGATGCTCAAACTAGTATGTATTCTGCAAATATTCCAAAATCTGAAAAAATCCAAAATCAAGATACTCCTAGTCCCAAGCATTCTGGATAAGGGATACTCAACCTGTATTTGGGGGGAGAGGGTACAGTGTGGAAATGAAACTTTCGGCTCAGATTTTTTAAAGAAATGGCTAATAAACGGTACCCACTTCGTATCATGCCAGATAATGAAGAACTAATGAAAAGCAAAGAAAAAGAGCTGTAAAGCTCTTTCTCAGCACATTGACAAAGTGCCCCACTATAAAGACTAACAGGATTCACAGTGGGAGATGCCCTAAATCTGCCCCAATGGTGCTGGGCACTGGTCATCACCATTTTTGGCTCTGCTGCATGACTCTACAAATATAACTTGCAACCAAAAACAGAGCTGTGGTTTTTAGAAGGTTTCAGGTATTTTCTTGTGCTCCTCTGAACGTAGGACCTTCTAATCATTCATTTGAGAAATACACACTAAGGACTAGCTACGTTCCAAACACTCAGGAAAGCAAGAGTGAGAAATATTTCCAAGACAAAGTACTGACACCACACGTTAGCAAGAGAATGCAAAATAAATGAAAGGCAGGCTAATATGCTCAGTTGTCTCTTATTCTTCCCTTTTCTCACACTTTAACACAAATATTAGTAAGTTCTGGGTGAATAAGTTGTTGCAATACTTGGCTTACTTAGCCCAAAGGGCCTTGGCTCTGCATTAAACTGGCCTTTGGCCCCTGGGGGAGAAAAGTACTTCCCTTGGAAAAGATAAACAGTCCTTCCCAGATTTCTTTACCTTTCAACTACAAGGGCCAAGCATGTGTTAAGACTAGAGGTTGGCTGCCTTCCTGTGCCATTTTTTTTTGCCAGCCTTTGGCACGGAGGCCCTTTGGCCAGGACAATATGTGACAAACCCATGTTGTGTAATCCTGAGTGCCACTTATTTATTGGTTTTTGTCACACACAGACTGTAAAGGGGAACTCTGTCCTGCAGTTAACACGATAAAGGGTACCTGAAGGTCAAACTACAAACGTTTTAGTGCCAGATTCCAATGGGCATCATGAGAAGGTGGCTGAGAATATCTGGGACCTCTTTTCAACTCCCAAATTCTAGGCCCTGGGTTTTAAAGTCTGTTAAGATATATGAAGCACATCCAAGGAGGTTAAGAAGTCAAAAGAACCTCAGTAGGACCATAAAAACTTGGCAAAAAAACTTCTGGGCCAGGCATGGTGACTCACGCCTATAATCCTAGCAATCTGGGAGGTCAAGGCAGGAGGATCGCTTGAGCTCTGGAGTTTGAGAACAGCCTGAGCAAAAGCGAAAACCTGTCTCTACTAAAAATAAAAAGAAATTAGCCAGACAACTAAACAATAGAAAAAATTAGCCACGTGTGGTGGCGCATGCCTACAGTCCCAGCTACCCGGGAGGCTGAGGCAGGAGGATCGCCTGAGCCCAGGAGTTTGAGGTTGCTGTGAGCGAGGCTGATGCCACGGCACTCTAGCCCAGGCAACAGAGCAAGATTCTGTCTCAAACAAAAATAAATAAATAACTTCTGACCTCAGAGGGTAGGATCATTGTTACACTGGACTATTAAAGCCCAACTGTACTGTAACAAGATAATATCCAACATTTTTCAATTTAAAAAGTTCAATTCCACTTCCTCATTTCTCTCCACCTCTAGAAACAAAGGAAAATCAGTATCAAGCGGAGGCAATGTCATGCCTATGGGACCACCCTACCTATATGTAAATGAGCTAAAGGCCAGCTATATACTTTCATGATCAATAGGCAAAAGAGCCTTAACTCAACATTAAATTTTTATTCAACTGCATGTAGCCAGCGATTACACTCAAGTTTATAGACTGAGATTTCAGAGAAGGGTAGATTTCATCTGCCCCTCACGGTCACCATTTTTAGCTCTGACATGAGATTTCACAAATATGAATTGTACCCAAACAAAGACCTATATCCCTAACAAGCCTTAATTGGTTTCCCTCTGCTCCCTGGGACTGATGTTCATCTACCTGATAAATATTCTCAGTGGTAATACAAACT